GACCGTTACCCATTTCAAGCTCGTCACTTCGTCGAAATCTTGAAATGGGTAATGGTTGCCATTAGCGCAAAAGAATCTGCCGGAGTCCAAGGAGCTACAAACATCAAACAATCATCAACTTGCCATATCTCGGATGAATCAACAAAGGAAATGTAGATTCGATCATACCGATTCAGTTTTGAACTAGTAAAAGACTTGGTGTCATAATTACTTTTCTTGAGCATTGCTTTGTTTTGTGTGTGCGAGTGTTTTGATCAATCAATTGTGTTGTTTCGAGAGTGTGGTGAGATTGCGAGGTTCATTTAGGTTACGTTGATGACCTTGACCCAACAGTTGTTTACAACGACTTCGTAACCTTTAAGAGATATATATCCATACGTCCCCTGGCTACATACATCTTTTCTTGTTTCACTCAAACAAATTCACATTAACTACAATTTTGTTAATTACAGGATATAAACTCAATTCTAAAAGAATTCATATTTCCAGTTCTTTCTTCTTGGTAATTTTAATGCAATCAACACTTTACAGTAATTAACTCAATTATCTCGTGCACGGTGCACGTAAGAGCTTATCAACCAATACCGGAACAAGTTGAGTTGCGAAGTCAACATTTAAAAGTAGAAAACACATTCCGTAACAATTACCGCATATGCCAAAAATGATTCATTACAATACCATTGTGTAAGACAAATCAATCCTTTTAATCCAAACAATCACTTCAATATGAAAGTTTGATTTGAGATAAATATATTACATAACTGAGAAGGAAAAAATAACAATACATTTAGCATTGAATCTTCTACTTAAACTTTTAAACTGTTCACATTTCCGTTAGTTTTGTAAAGACACTGATAATTTGTTTACCAACATCATTTTAAAAAGTTTACATGTACATCTGAAAACATTTAGTCGTCTTTCTCATCGTCTTCGTCGTAGTTGAACGGTAATGGAACTGACTTGAAAGCTCTGTACTTCCCAACATTATTCAAATGTTCGTTTTCTAACCTGTTTGTAACAAAACCAAAACCCGAAATAAACATCGAGAAACCACGATAGAAAACTAGTGAAGAAGAAAACAAAAAGTAATAATGTGTAGTAAGTAAATAAACCTGAAGAAATTCCACATCCCACGGCGAATAATCTCAAGACTAGCCATAACGGCAACCAACGTCTGCGCGTGCATCACCTTGAATTGAAAATTCAATACCGTTTGCAACCAAGCGAATCTCAACACAATGTTCAAGATCTGCAGTTTTTGCTTTCAAGAATTGATTTAGTTGCTTCTCACTGCTTTCGAGATTACATAAATCAATGAGAATAATCGCTTACCATTGCGATGAAGTATACTTTCTTATTTGGTACGAGAAGTTTCTCTCGAAGCCATCGGTTATTGGATGATTTGTTCAGAAGTCCCCAGTCATGGACAAAGTCCCAATATGTACAGAAAACCGCAGCAAGAAGCGAGGCAGCACCAGCTAACACTTTGAGGATAAAGTTCTTGTCGTCTGAACTACTAGCTGTTCTTAAACAAACAGCTATTATTGTCAACAAGTATTTGACTCCGTTGTATCCTTGCTCTAAGCTTCTTTCCTCAATCATCCGTCGCATGCACTGCACGCGCCAAATTAAACAACGAAAAAACATATCGAATGGTGGACTGATGTTGGATTTATAATGTTTTTATTTGTGAAGAAACATTTTGTACCTGAAGTAGGCGAGATAGATATGGGAGTACAGCAACAATGTATAGGAAATATTTGTAGATGTCTGATTTTTCGCAAGTGTTTTGTCTTTGTTTGAAGTCTCCCCAACCGTAGTAACATATGTAGAACACGATGCTTCGTAGAGCTTGTACTTGGCTAGTTAATTGATCTCCTAAGAAGAAATCAGGTAGTGTTACCTGTATTGAGAAGGCATTAGTAACCAACACCGATAAAGCGGTTTGAATTTTATGTTTTTACCTTGTAAAGAGGAGCAGCAAGGCAGTGAAATAGACATGTGAGGAAGAAGAAGCGACTCGAACGGTAGAGAATGTTGAATGGCAAGATCAAAACTACAAACAGAGCCTAGAACAAACATCATATAGAGTTAGTGTCATCATGTAGCTAAGGATGTGTTTAAAAAAGGCGGATTTATCGGACTTACGACAAAAAGGAAAAGAGGAAGAAGTTCGGTTAATGCTTTGTAATTTTTGGTTTTGGGGTCAGCTTGCATATCAAGATTCCCAAGAATACAAAGCAACGCATATGCTCCAATGCTGAATCCCACAAACAGAACTTGTCTGTAACCAAGTTCAGTTCCTTGCTTGAACCCAAATATGAAGGCGTAATTCACTCGATAACGCTTCCAATAGTATATATTAATAGCATACATAGTCATGTGAAGCACAATGAACCCAAACAAGCTGC